TTTTGAACTTTAGGGCATTCTGGATAAAAGATGCTCAACTTTTACCCATTTACTATGGTCTAAGGTCTATTGACTTACCCCTCCTAACAAGTTATCCAAAAAGCACAAAGGACCAAATTTTGAAAGCATAGTTTGAATGCCAACACATATGCCATCAAGCATATGAATGAAAACCAGAAACTTTTATGAAGTAACTAAAAGAAAAAAAAATCAAGTTTTATTAATGTTTTATTTGTGATACTCCTGAAAGCAATTTGATTGGCAGTCTTTATGAAAAATAAACATTTTATACAGAAAGCAAAACTGTGAGTATGAAACAAATCAAAGTATGTGAAAACATAAACATGGGGATCTTTGCCAGAAATTCAGCTAAGTGCCCCAAACTACTCACTACATTTAAACATGAGCCATTAAGCTAGTTTAAGACAGAATTGCCAGATTTTAAAAAGATATTAAAAACCTGAGAAATACACTGTCATCTGTGTATCTAAATGTTGACAAATGTGGTAGTGATTTTTATTTTGTCTTTATTCTAATGACACTTTATGTGATCTGTTGTGATACTTCATTGTGTCATTTGGACAAAAATCATGGTGGCAATTGACTGAACTTATTAACTTAATTTGAGGCTTCTCACCCAACCAAGGGTTCCTTGGCTTGGCTTTGTGGCTGCCCCATCCTCTTGGAATTGCCTTCCCGAGCATTTATAAAATATTCCTTCCCTAATTGTTTCTAAGGCTGCATTTATCTTGTATAATAAATGCCGTTTGACACCACTACAACTGCCATGGTTCAATGCTATGGAATTATGGGAGTTGTTGTTAAATAATGTCTTCAACCTTCAACCTTTGCAGTCAAAGGTGCCGTGGGGGCACCATGGGCTAAACCCTTGTGCCAGCTGGACTAATTACCTGAAGGTTGGGATGTTGACCTGAAGGTTGCTGGTTCGAATCAATGAGATTGTATGAGGTCCTATCTGTCAGCTCTATTTTGTGGAGATATGAGAAAAGCCTCCCAGTAGGGTGGTAACACATCTGGGTATTGGGCTTGAAGCACACATTGTGTGTGGGTACAGGTCATAGAAAAGGGACCTCTGGGGGAGTGAGCTTCTCTGGTTAGGCCAAGCTTCTGCCGACCTAGCAGTTCGAAAACATGCGAATGTGAGTAGATCAATAGATACCGCTCTGGTGGGAAGATAATGACACTCCACGCACTCATGCTGGCCACATGACCTTGGAGGTGTCTATGACTCCTGCTCTTTGGGTTAGAAATGGAGATGAACACCAACCCCCAGAGTTGGACACAACTAGACAATGTCAAGGCGAAACCTTTATCTTTACTACCCCTGACAGATGGCCATCCAGCCTCTGTTTAAAAGCCTTCAAAGAAAGAGGCTCCACCACACTAGCCGGGGGGGGGGGGGGGGGTTCAACCCCCCCCCCCCGAAATTTTTCAGGTTAAAAAAACCTGGTTTACTCATGAATTTTAACTGGTTAACCAAATCCCCATGCTAAGTCTATGAGATTGCACCTGCAGAAAAACCATCAAATGCACTGGAAGCATATCTTATCTTGTCTGTGATGTACAGTTTTTTCCGAATGTGAAGAAACTTCTTCAGATTTCTGCAACATTGCCAGTGTCAACAGCTACAAATGAAAGGTCGTTTTCAACCCTTAAACATTAAGCACAATGAGGCAAGAAAGACTGACTGGACTTGCACTCTTGATTGTCCACCAAAGTTTATCAATACAGCCTGATTTCTGTCAAAGTGTATTGACACAGTTTTCAAGTGTTTCTAACAAACGTTGTGGTATTCTTTTGTAACTATAAATTATCAATTAGCAATCATTTTCAGTTATTTTAAGACTTGAAACTTTAACTAAAATAGAAATTTGATTTAATGAAGTCTATATAAAATATACTTGAAACCATATAATTTAAAGTATTTTATGTTATGGCACGATGAAACATGCCTGTTACCCTTTGTAGTCTTTTACCTAGGTCATTGCTATCTTAAATGCTGGTTATAAGTTTTAATACTTTTTTATCAGTTTTATCTGCTGTTAATTCCACCCACATCGTGTGTTTTATTTATTATTTATTATTATTTACATTATTTCTATCCCACCCATATCAGCCCGAAGGTGATTCAGTCGGCACAATTCGATGCCATAAAAATACATACATTAATAAGCAAAAAAAAACCCATTATAGTTCATTTAAACATAAAGACAGAGCATAATAACAATTTAAAAACAAAGAACTATGTCCTCTCATTCAAATCCTCATCCATTCCATCATCTTGGGCCGTTCCTGGGTCATTTTCCCATTCAAGTTTGTCTATCTATTCCGAGGTTCCAAATGCTTGCTCGAAGAGCCACATTTTTATTCTTTTCCAAAAGGTCAGGAGGGAGGGGGCTAATCTAATATCGCTAGGCAGGCAGTTCCACAACCGAGGGGCCACCACCGAGAAAGCCCTGTCTCTCGTCCCCGCCAGACTTGCTTGCGAAGCAGGCGGGATTGAGAGCGGGGCCTCCTAGGACGATCTCAAGTTCCTGGAGGGTTCGTCGGAAGAGACACGTTCGGATAGATAAGCTGGGCTGGAATCGTTTAGGGTTTATAGGCCAAAGCAAGCACTTTGAATTGAGGTTGGTTTTAATCAGTTTTGGCTATTTTTGGCCTTACTAACCTTGCATACCTTGTATCTAATACCTTTTACGGAGCAATAAGGGTGTTTGGGTTGAAAAAAGCTGGGGTGAAAATTGCTGGAAGAAACATTAACAACCTCAGATATGCAGATGACACCACTCTGATGGCCTAAAGCGAGGAGGAGCTGAGGAGCCTTCTAATCAAGGTGAAAGAAGAAAGCGCAAAAGCTGGGTTGCAGCTAAACATCAAAAAAACCAAGATTATGGCAACAAGAATGATTGACAACTGGAAAATAGAGGGAGAAAATGTGGAGGCCGTGACAGACTTTGTATTTCTAGGTGCAAAGTTTACTGCAGATGCAGACTGGCCAGGAAATCAGAAGATGCTTACTTCTTGGGAGGAGAGCAATGTCCAGTCTCGATAAAATAGTGAAGAGTAGAGACATCACACTGGCAACAAAGATGAGCATAGTCAAAGCCATGGTATTCCCTGTAGTAACCTACGGATGTGAGAGCTGGACCTTAGGGAAGACTGAGCGAGAATCATAGAATCATAGAATCAAAGAGTTGGAAGAGACCTCATGGGCCATCCAGTCCAACCCCCTGCCAAGAAGCAGGAATATTGCATTCAAATCACCCCTGACAAATGGCCATCCAGCCTCTGTTTAAAAGCTTCCAAAGAAGGAGCCTCCACCACACCCCAGGGCAGAGAGTTCCACTGCTGAATAGCTCTCACAGTCAGGAAGTTTTTCCTCATGTTCAGATGGAATCTCCTCTATTGTAGTTTTAAGCCATTGTTCCGCGTCCTAGTCTCCAGGGAAGCAGAAAACAAGCTTGCTCCCTCCTCCCTGTGGCTTCCTCTCTCACATATTTATACATGGCTATCATATCCCTCTCAGCCTTCTCTTCTTCAGGCTAAACATGCCCAGCTCTTCAAGCCGCTCCTCATAGGGCTTGTTCTCCAGACCCTTTATCATTTTAGTCGCTCTCCTCTGGACACATTCCAGCTTGTCAATATCTCTCTTGAATTGTGGTGCCCAGAATTGGACACAATATTCCAGGTGTGGTCTAACCAAGGAATAGAGGGGTAGCATGACTTCCCTGGATCTAGACACTATGCTCCTATTGATGCAGGCCAAAATCCCATTGGCTTTTTTTGCCGCCACATCACATTGTTGGCTCATGTTTAACTTGTTGTCCACAAGGACTCCAAGATCTTTTTCACACGTACTGCTCTCGAGCCAGGCGTCCCCCATTCTGTATCTTTGCATTTCATTTTTTCTGCCAAAGTGGAGTATCTTGCATTTGTCACTGTTGAACTTCATTTTGTTAGTTTTGGCCCCTCTCTCTAATCTGTCAAGATCGTTTTGAATCCTGCTCCTGTCCTCTGGAGTATTGGCTATCCCTCCCAATTTGGTGTCGTCTGCAAACTTGATGATCATGCCTTCTAGCCCTTCATCTAAGTCATTAATAAAGATGTTGAACAGGACCGGGCCCAGGACGAAACCCTGCGGCACTCCACTTCTTTCCGATGAAGAGGAAGCATTGGGGAGAATCACCCTCTCTGTTCGTCCATTTAACCAATTACAGATCCACCTCACCGTAGTTTTGCCTAGCCCACATTGGACTAGTTTGTTTGCCAGAAGGTCTTGGAGGAGCTCAACATGACTGTATATCCCTTCAAAATCGATGCTTTTGAGCTGTGGTGCTGGAGGAAAGTTCTGAGAGTGCCTTGGACTGCGAGAAGATCCAACCAGTCCATCCTCCAGGAAATAAAGCCCGACTGCTCACTGGAGGGAAGGATACTAGAGACAAAGTTGAAGTACTTTGGCCACATCATGAGGAGACAGCAAAGCCTAGAGAAGACATTATGCTGGGGAAAGTGGAAGGTAAAAGGAAGAGGGGCCGACCAAGGGCAAGATGGATGGATGGCATCCTTGAAGTGACTGGACTGACCTTGAAGGAGCTGGGGGTGGTGACGGTCGACAGGGAGCTCTGGCGTGGGCTGGTCCATGAGGTCACGAAGAGTCGGAGACGACTGAACGAATGAACAACAACAAGGGTGTTTGGACTGTATTAAAAATGTTGTTGTGTTATCGAACTACTCTTCATGATTTGCTAAAGAAAGTTTCAACCCTCCCCGAAATTTTTTTCTGGCTACTGCCTTGCCCACTACATATTATAAATAATAATAATAATAATAATAATAATAACAATAATAATAATAATTTAAAATTCCTTAACAACAACTACCACCTAACTAAGGGCCCTTCCCCACAGGAATTCCATTCTGGGGTGTTTTCAGAGGCACCAAAGGAAGTGCAAGCCTGGCAACGGGCGTCTCCAACCTACCACGGTGTTTTTCATCATGGCTTTGACGGTGAATCCATCGCTGACCTGTTTCCTGGTCCTTTTGGACTGCCGCAGGGGCTCCTGCAGCTGCGGGGGCCTGCTCCTGTAAGGGCCCAAGCCCTCTTTCTCGGCCACCATCTCCTCGGGCACTAAACAGTCCCAATGCCTTGCGGGACCCGGTGGGGCGGAGACAACGTATAAACGGCTTGACCACCAAGACTTCAAGCACACCAAGCTTTTCTGGACTCCCACCTCTTTCCCTCAAACTTCGCCCGCGAGTAGTTTTCGGAAAGGGTGAGGAGGGAGGGGGGAAGGGAAAGGGGAAACTCGGCCTGTTTCTAACACTAACTCGCTTCTAAGGACTCCGTTGCTAAGCAACGCATCAACAACCTGCCCGGGCGGACTCAGAATTCCGGCTTCGGGAAACCTTGGTCTCCCTGAGCATGCGCTGCATTCCTGCGCATGCTCAGTCACGAAAGACGAAGCCCCTTTGCCTGTAGTTTTGCCCTCCTTTTCATGCCCGCGGAATCTACAAGTGGCCCCGAACTCTTCCCGGAGTTTTGGACTTCAGCTCCCAGAATCCCTCTTCATTGGCCACGGCAGCTGAGGCTTCAGGGAGTTGAAGTCCAAAAAAACTGAAGGACTAGCGTTTGGGCTCCACGGTTCCTAGCATGAGCTGTTGTACCAAGTGGAAAACACCGTGTTAAGACTGGAGGAAATCCTTGACGCGCATGCGCAGCAGTTATCGGTGGAGCTTTTTGCCCGGCTTCCGCCTTAACTTGCTGCAGAGGTTTTCCAGGGTTGAGCATACTTCATTTGAAATGCTTGGGACCAGAAGTGTTGTGGATTTCGGGATTTTTAAAAAAACATATTGTAATATAGTAATGCTAATATATTAAATGTAATCACTACTGCTAATATATAATGATATACTGTTTTATTATTGTATATTTTAAGTTATAATGATTTTGCTTGTTAGCCTCTTTGAGTCTCCATATGGAGAGATAATGCTGGATATAAATCTATACAATAAAATAAATTGCCTATAAGTCTATAACACACTGATTGACACTACAGAATCCATTAATTATCCATATCCATATAATAATAAGAAGAAGAAGAAGAAGAAAAAGAAGAAGAAGAAGAAGAAGAAGTTGTTTTGGAGCACAATACTCCTGACCTCATGATCATGTTAAAAAACAAAGTATGGATTGTCGATGTTGCAATCCCAGGTGACTGCAGGATTGACAAGAAGCAACTGGAAAAGCTGACACAATATGAGGATTTAAAGATCAAACTGCAAAGACTCTGGCACAAGCCAGTCAAGGTGGTTCCAGTGGTGATCGGCACACTGGGTGCAGTGTCTAAAGACCTTGGCTTGCACTTAAACACAATTGGCACTGACAAAATGACTACCTATCAGATGCAAAAGGCCATCCTACTCAGATCTGCACACATTATTTGGCAATACATCACACAGTCCTAGACACTTGGGAAGTGACTGGTGTGTGATCCAGTACAACAGCCAGCAGAGTGATCTTGTTTGCTGTGTACTCAACTTGTTGTGTTTATTATTATTATTATTATTATTATTATTATTATTATTATTATTAAAAAGACTGTGGCACAAGCCAGTAGAGGTGGTCCCATTGGTGATCGGCACACGGGGTGCAGTGGCTAAAGACCTTGGCCTGCACTTAAACACAATTGGCGCTGACAAAATGACCACCTATCAGATGCAAAAGGCCATCCTACTCGGACCTGCACACATTATTTCCCTAGACACTTGTGAAGTTACCAACGTGTGATCCAATAAAACAGTCAGTAGAGTGATCTTGTTTGCTGTGTACTAATCTTGTTGTGTTTCGAATAATAATAATAATAATAATAATAATCTTTATTTATATCCTGCCTTTCTCCCTTACAAAGGGACCCAAAGTGGTTTCCAACATATAAAATACAGTGAAATACAATACAAAATCAGCAGCAACCAAAATACAAAACATAATAAGCAATTAATAAAACAAACATAAACATTTTAAAACCAGTAAACATAATTGTCTTCTCAGAACTTATTCCACTTTTTGCATATTGTACTTCACATTGCTCAATGAGGACTGACCTTCTCATCAACCTAGATTTATCCACCGAATGCTTACTTGAATAAAAAGGTCTTCAGCTGCCGCTTGAATGATGTTAGGGAGAGTGCCATTTTGATCTCTCTGGGGCCGGTATTCCAAAGCATTTCAAGCTGCATTATATGGCAGTGTAGATCCAGCCTTTTTCTTCCATGGCTATATACTGTGGCATCATGGAAGTTGTAGCTGCAGGTCTTCAGACTTCTCTGCCAAAGAGCACGGGTTCTCCATCAAACTACAGCCTTCCAGATTACCTTGCATTGAGCCATGGCATTAAAGTGGTGTCAGACTGCATTAATTCTACAATGTGTTGATGCAGCCCATCTTAGGACCTAAGGCTAAACACAAAATCCATGTATATGTCATATACACCTGTTGAGTTTTATTAATCCTATATATAACTGTCTAAGGTTCTCAAAAGCATTCATTTTGATTCTTCATCATCCTGTATCCCGGTTTACATCATCATAAGACTCTGAGCTATAGTCAATCTATTTGCATTGTATTTAGACTATAGAATAGATGGAGAAACCAGGGAAAAATAATTAAACACTTGAACATAGTGAGATATAAATATTCAATAGTATTCTCATACGTTTGTATTATGTAAAGAGAAATCAAGGGTGGAGATTCACGGGTGGGAATGGGGAGGTCGTGGGACTGAGGAAATAATACTTGTATTTCAATTGTTTCTATGTATGTATACATATTAAAAATAAAAAATCTTCAAAAATATACACCTGTTGAAAGTGCAGTATGCTTTAAAGAACTGATTATTATATATGTACACAAGATGAATATAACCAAACATACCAAAACAATTGCATTTTGCCTTCTGCTTCTTTTCCTTTCACTAGTATATTGTTTTAAATTTTGATACAAGAAAATTACACTTTAAAAGTTCATTGCAAAGGCACTCAAATATTTTAGAAGTAAGAACTAGGTTGCATAATTTTTCCCCAATTTTTAGGCACCCTGATTAAAATTATCATCTGTAGGTCTAATGCACTCACAAATGCTTTCATTATTCTAATCTAGTACATGTTTTGCATTCATCCTTGATTTGTTCTTGAGGCTGACTTCTGGAGAGTAAATCTCTCATTGCTGCCTATAAATATAGTCACTGACCTTCTCTCCCTTTCTGTCTAACATCACTTTTTATATTTACACATTTGCTAAACTTGGGGACCAAAGAGAATGTGCTTTTTTCTCTCTTGCAAAGTGTGTTCCTATAAATAATGGACAGGGGGATGAATGATCAAGACAAGACAATAAATGGGTAACAGTTCAACAATCTCCACAGAGTTGCTGTGAGTTTTCTGGTCTGTATGGCCATGTTCCATGAGCATTCTCTCCTGACGTTTTGCCGAGACGTCTATGGCAGGCATCCTCAGAGGTTGTGTGGTCTGTCAGAAATTAGCCAGATTGAGGTTTATATATCTGTGGGGCTGGGGGTGGTAACAGCGGACAGGGAGCTCTGGCGAAGGCTGGTCCATGAAGAATCGGTCCATGGAAGTGACTGAATGAATAAACAACAACATATCTGTGGAATGCCCAGGGTGGGGGGGAAAACTCTTCTTTGTTTGAAGCAAGTGTGAATGTTGCAGTTGGCCACCTTGATTATCATTTAATGGCCTTGCACCTCTGAGGATGCCTGCCAAAGATGTGGGTGAAATGTCAGGAGAGAACGCGCTGAAACATGGCCATACAGCCTGGAAAACTCACAACAACCCAGTGATTTTGGCCATGAAAGCCTTTGACAACTCAATATCCACAGAAATGTATGTATTGTTTAATGGTAGCCATGCAGAATATTTTAAGGCGAAATAAATATACCCATACTGAAGAAGAGTTGTTATAATGATTGAGGATGCATCTGCACAGTTGAATTAATGCAGTTTGACACCACTTTACCTGCCACAGCACAATGCTAGGAAATCCTGGGATTTTTAGTTTAGGCAGGCACCAGCTTTCTTAGGCAAAGAAAGCTAAAGACCTTGTAAAATTACAGATACCACCACTCAATAGTATGCTATAGAGCTGGCATGGAAAAACTCTGGCCCTCTGGGTGTTTTGGACTTCAACTCCCACAATACCTAACAGCCTCAGACACTTTCCTTTTTTACTAGTTAACGTGGCGTGACTCTGCATTAATTCAACAGTGTAGATGCATTCTTAGTCACCTACAAATTCCACCTGAAATTACAATTTTGTGTAAGGTGTTCAAATGACACCAGTGAGCAGCAATGCAATCACTGATCACATGGTCAAACCACAGAATTGCAAACGCTGCATAAACGTTTTGCTTTGATTTTGGCAATATATTTATGTATATGTGTGTGTGTGAATATATATACATATATATATACACTGAAATATTACTTTTTAAAGGTATATACATTTTTGGTAAAAAAAAATTTAAATCCACAAATGTCATAAAAACAGTAGACTTCTACAACTGGAAGACAACACAAGAGACAATCCCCAAGGCTGGTGCAACATTGTGAAAATAGATAAGATTGAAACATAAGTTGCTAAGGATGTATAGAAAGCAACCTCTCCCCTCCTTTCCTTCTGTTGAACAGGGCCAAGCAAGAGGCTGCTGTCTCCACGCGCCGTGACGTCACCCACAGGCGGGGGGGGGGAAAGGCAGCTCTGGTCACGTGACACACACCCTTACCTACACACACTACTCATTGAATTCAGTAGCTGGAAGAGGTGAAGGCGCGGGCAAGGCGGCGAGAACTACGTTTCCCAGAAAGCACTGCGAGGTTCCCCGCCCCCGCCAGCATTGCGTCTAAAGTCCGGCCGGCCTGCAGGGAGCGTAGTCTTCAGAAGGTTCAGACTTGAGTGGCGGAAAGGACGGGGGTTGAGAGCGCCCCCTTTTCCCACCGCTGGCTATGATAGGTGAGTGGGACCCGGATGCAGCGTGTGTTTCCCCCTCCCCGTACCCTTCATTGGCTCTCTCCTAACAGAAGGAGGGGGATCTCAGGGAAGCAGAGGCTGGTCTGCTCCAAAATACTTTTCTCATGTTGAATAATCTAAAACACTTAATTCCTAGGCGCACATACAGGGTGTTCCTCAAAATTGTATACACTTTTAGCAGATTATAATTCTATTTTTGGCATTCCCCTCCCCCCTAAGGATACCCCTTTAACAGCTTGGAATATTGGGATTTCTTTGCATTTTTAGAGCCAAAATATATGTCACTTTAACAACTTGCAATTTTGGATATATTTTTTTACCCTTTCCCCCCAAAAAAACATCTATTCCCTTAACAGTTTATAATTCTGGATTTCTTTTTCATTTTTTACAAAGAGATGTACAGCCTTTAACAGTTTACAATTATAGATTTATTCCAACTTCCTTATAAAACATACATTCTGAAAAGTCTAATTCCAGTTCTTTTTTTTCCCTTTGGCAACCCCCTTCCCAACATTTTTAAAAAATCTCTGCCGCCCCAAATATATGAAAGATCCTAATACAGGTTGTCCCCGTGTTACAAACATTCGACTTACAAATAACTCGTAATTAAGA